TGCCCGGCTCGTCCCGGCCCTGCGGGGACCCGGCGGCCGCCGCACCTCGGGCGAGGGCGAGGCCCAGGCCCGCGCCTCCCTCTGCGGCCGCTCCCGCCCCGGCTGCACCCGGGAGCCGCGGCGGTTTTTTAAAATGCTCTCCGGGCTTTAAGATAGCGTTTCTTTCTCCACGGTGACTTTTCGGTCTGGCCTTGGATGTTGTCTAATGCATTTCCTTCATAGACAATCTATGGGTGTCTGTGTGTGGTGCTAGCAGGACGGTGTGCAGATAGGTGGGGTTTTTCACTGTCCGTGCTGAAGTGCTCATCAATGGCCGTTTTACTTCAGGAGGTTAGCTAGAAAGCAGTTTGAATAACGGTGGCGGCTTTCCTTCTAAGTATCTTAGAAGTAGGAGTTTTGTATTTTTTTTTTTTCCTGAAACTTACTTTGGAAAGAGTTCCGTTCTTTTTCTGCCCCACCCCTTCACCCTTCTGCTCTACTTAATGTTATGTATATTTGAATGCCATAAAAGGCCTTATAGATTACAAAGAACTAGATCCGAATCAATGTTTAATTTTTATCCCCAAGACAAATTATAAAAATATTAGGGGATTAGAAATATTATGCAATTTAGATTATTTGCTTCAACGTTTGACCCCCATGGTGAGCAAGGTGAGCAAAAGGGAGTACTGTTTGGCATTGCTTGTCTTATGAGGGAGGAAAACAAAAAACACTTGAGACCACTTTATTCCCATGAAACAAGTTAATACTGGGTGGGCAGAGGAAATGAACATTTGCAAATTAACTTAGATAGCTTGTCTCTCCCTATCGATCCAAATGCATGTCTTGTAATTTTTAAAAAGATCAATATTTGTTTAGAAGAGCTGACGTTAAATTCTTGAGCGAAGTACATATTTAAAATACCCAATGTATAAAGACACTAAAGTGCTCTTAACAGAAAGAACTGAAATAAACACTGTTGCTCTTTTGCCCTGAGGTCTTTTCCTTTAACTGCTCCCCCCCATCATGAGACCAAACCCAAGGCTTCAAGCACTCTAAGGCAAATATTCTGTGTCAGTGAGCTACATCCTCAGACTTTTGTTTAATCTTGTGTCTTCTGATAGAAGTTAAAATAGAACTATTTTTTGTTTTAAATGTCTCAATAGATTTCAGTCCACTTTTGAAATTTAACTAAGGCATAGGTTAAATGTGTAAGATATTAGTAAAGTAATAAAATCATTGCTGGGTGTGGTGACACATGCCTTTAATCCTAGCACTTGGGAGGATTTCTATGAGTTGGAGGCCAGCCTGGTCTACATAGGAAGTTCCAGAGCTGTTTTTGATTGGAAAATCTACAGAGATAAATGATATATAAAAAAATGTTGTTAGGTTTTGTTAGCTTGGAGTGTGTGAGCAGCTTGCTACTTTAGACATGCTTAAGGGCAAAAAATAACATTTCAAGAAAAGCCTATGCAAAATGCCCTATCCATGGACCATTGTATGTATTATGTGGTGATCTAGAACTTGGCAGGTGGAATCAGTATCCATTGTTTACACTGCAGGTTCTTGGGAAAGCTCTAGAGCCTGTGTTAGGCTCTGGCAGTCTACAGGATGCTTATGGATGTACTGGCTCTCCAATTTTGATTCAGTAAGATGAAAGCAATGCTTCACATTTATGTACTGCTACTTTATAATGTACTGTCATGTATTAATTTGATTTGTAATCCCCAAAGTTCTGTGAAATAAGCAGGACACTTTATAGGTGAGAAAACAGACTCAGAGATTAAATACTTTGCCCTCAGATTCAGAACTCCTAAAGTCTCAACTTTGACTCTTATCAAACTGATAAAACATTGCCGTTTATGCTTCTGTTATATAGTCACGTAGTTTTATAGACTACATCAAGACATGAACAAGATTACCTTTAGAAGTATATAACTGTACCTATGGAACCTAGTAGAAAGCTCTTGCTTAGTGTACATGAGGCTCTGGGTTCAATCCTCAGCACCACAAAACTAAAAAAAGCCCACATGAACATAAATATGTTTATATAGAAGCTTTATAGAGATGGTTTTTTTTTCATGCAAAGTAAATATAACACAATTCTTTTTATTACAGGGAAAATCCAGAAAGAACCTTTGATTTGGTACTGAAAGTGAAATGTCATGCCTCTGAAAATGAAGGTATGTATGTTCTTTTAATTCCTAACAGAATTGAGTCTGTCCAAACAAGTGTTAATACTGTGGATTGCTGGAGCACAATAGTATCAGGGAAATGATAATGCCAAAGGTCTATTCCAGTATCTCCAATTGCTAGTAATAAAATAGATGCTAGGTCTTTGCTCTGGAGTTGTAGAAATAATGAATGTTATCTGCGCAGCTTGGATTTCAAGTGTGTATGAAGCCTGTATAACCTGCAGCTCAGTTTTAGTCTTTTGGTAAAATTGGCCTTGGTTGTGGTGAAAAGGCATGCCTTTTTATTTTCTCTCATCTGTGTTTGAATACTTAGCTCCATCTTTAAAAATCTTATTGCAGGTTCTGCTGCTAGTGCCAATGGACCCTTCAGCAGTTCCTTCTAATATTTCTGGAATGCAGTATATAGATAGACCAAGTACCTCCTTCTATTGGATTTATTCCAGTAGCTTAGCACTTGGGTAGGTAAACATGTGTGATAATACTTAGAAGGTTTTCAATTGTTAGTTCTGTTCGATTTCCTGGAAAAATAAGAATTTGTTAAGTATTGTGATTTCCTTAGTTTTTTCCTCACCTTTGTTTTATTTCTGTGTATTTGGGAGAGGACTATCAGAAAAGGCCAAGAAGCATCTCATTTTGCTTATTTCTTTCATGGTATGTCTTCATGAATATCTCTAGTACATGACTTTATTTGTATGATACTTAACCCTAGACTGCAAGGCCATTAAGTATAGGGTTTTGTGCAGATGAGTAGGCCATCCTAAAGCCTGGGTGGAAAGTCTGCTGTTAGCCCCAAGAAACTAGTCAGCAATTACAAACGCTTAAGTAATTTGGAGCTGTACACCTTAAAATAGAGGAGCCCAACCCAGTTGTGGTGAAATGGGCACGGCTAATTTTAGGTAGGAAATTAGACACATTCTTGGCTCTGGAAGCTCTGTGTGCTGTATTTCTGGCCTGCTGGAACTATAGCTGTGATCAGTTTTGTCAGCTGGTGAGAAAAAAATCCTACGATTATTAGAAGCCTCTTCAGATTAGAGAAATTATCTTCCTTGTCTTTTTAAAAAATTATTTATTTTTTATGTGTATGAGTGTATGCATGTATGTAAGTGTACCCATGTGCAAAGCCTGCAGAGGCTAGAAGAGGGTGATGGATCCCTTGGAACTGGAGTTATAGATGGATGTTAACCACCATGTGGGTGCTGGGAATCTAACCTGGGTCCTCTGGAAGAGCAGCCCGTGCTCTTAACCTCTGAGCCATCTCTTTAGCCCCTTCTTCCTTGTCTTATATGTGGTGAAGTTGGCATTCTAACCAGGCCCAACCATGTCCTCTTTGCAGTTTGGGAACATTATGCTGAATATATACATGAATGTGCATATTTGTTTTCAGATCCCCCTTAAATTTATTTATGGTATGAGTTAATCTTAAAAGAACCACCAAGCCATTATCCAAGGTGTGTGTAGTGCTCATCTGTGTTATAAAATTCTTTTGGAACACTTGGAACCTTTATAATTTTAAGTGAATGCTTTTCAAGTCATAAAGTAATTTCATGAAAGTATCAATCTGCCTTATTATATAGCAACTGGTCTGCATATGTTTCAGAGAAGTTTTAACCTTCGCATAAGGACTTTCAGTGGTCCCTCCCTTTGCCCTCTTCTGCTTTTCATGGCTAGTTTTTTCAGTGGACCTTCATTTGTTATCATCTTGCCTTTCAGCTGTTGTAAAAAAATCAGTTTTCTAGAGACTTCTTCATTTATATTTTAACAATTTATCCAATCTGATAAAATTGGAAATATTATAAATGAATAAATAAGCAATTTTTGGCTTCTCTGAGCTAGTAAGTCCATTCTTATGTGTGGTATGTGTTCATGTGTGTGTGTGTTGGCCACATGCTTGCCTTGGTGTGCATATAGAGGTCAGAAGACAACCTCTGGTATTGGTCCTCACTTTCTACCTTGTTTGACATGGGGTCATTTTGTGGTTCACAACCACAGCCAGCTGGTCTTTGAATTTCCAGGGATTCTATCTGTCTCTACCTCTGATCTCCAGATTGGGCATTGGGATTACAGATAGGCACTACCCAGCCTGGGTTTGCTTGGTCGTAGTACTTAATTTTTGTTGCTGTTAAAACACCATGATCAGAAGCGACTTGTGGAAGAAAGAGTTTATTTTGGCTTGTGGGTCCAGAGGGAGAGTTCATAATGAAGCAGGAAGCTGGAGCAGGAAACTGGGCCATATCTTCGACTGCAAACATGAAGCAGAGAGTGCAAACTAGAAGTGGGGCAAGGCTGTAAACTCTCCAAGTCAGCTCCCCAGTGATGTAGTTCTTCCAGCAAGGCTGGAGGTTCCATAACCTTCCCGAACAGCACCCTACCCTTCATCAGGCAGTGTTGCCAGTTGGACCTAGTATCTGATGTATGCTTGGCAAGTGCTGAACCACTGGGCTATAGCCTCAGCCCTTAAAGAATCCATTCAATTTTAACCAGTTGGCAGCAAATTCTAAAAATTTAAAACACTTTTTGTGTTATTTTTTGACCATTTCTCACTATTGCATCTCATACTGGCCTTAAACTTGTGGTCTTCCTGCTTCAGTCTCTTGAGTGCTGGGATTGCAGGAGTATACCATTACAGCTAGCTTAAAGATTTCTTTTAAAACTAAATTCAACTACACAGAAAATATTAGTCTTTCTTTTTTCACTTATGCCTTAAATCGTACAAATATAATGGATTTTTTAGGTTTTAGAAAGATACAAAATTTTTTGACCTAAGAAGTCATGGTGTCTGTACATAAGTGAGCTATACAAGTGAAGTTTTATGTGAAATTGAGAATTTATTGATTCTTTTTTTTAAATAAAAAAGTTTATTATTTTTATTTTATGTTTATGCGAGTATTGCCTGCATGTATGTAAGTACACCCATGTCATGCAATGTCCGTGGAGGTCAGAAGAGGGCATTGGACCCTCTGGAACCAAAATTACAGGTGGAATTAGCTGGAATTAGCTGTCATATGGGTGCTGGGAATCAAACCTGGGTCTTCTGTAAGAGTAGCCAGTGCTCTTAACGCCTGAGTCATCTCTCCAGTTTGAGTTTATTGATTCTATAATATCTTATTAATTACCTCTTTTATTGCTATCTATTAAGTGAAATATATTGAAATTGTTTAAAAATTAAAAAAGTTCTTTTTAAGTATCAATAACCTGTTTGCTTTAGCAAGCCTCTGGTAGGCATTTCATCTTGTTTCAGGGAGGATGTTTTACCCTAGGGATAGCCTAGGAAAAGGAAATCTACAAATTAGGATCTTTGGGTTGCAAGTATAAAGCTGGTTTAAAGACTAAAGAGAGTTGATGTATGTAGGAGGAACCACAGCTGATGCATCATCAATGATTTAGGTTCTTCCTATACTTCAGTTCTAATGCTGAAATTACAAATGCTATCATTAGAAGGCTTAGATTTTTTTGTGGTTTCGAGTTGGCTATCAGTAGACCTTGGAAGTCTGCTTTCTTGAATATGACTGCAGGCAGAAGGAAAGGAGATTATGACTGTTCATAACTGTTTCTTTAGAGCTGGGACTTTTCTTCCCTAAAACCCCTCAGAAAACTCCTTCTTGATCTCAGTGTCCTGAGTTGTCATGGTAAGGACCATTCCTTAGAAGTATAATCACTGGTACTGCAGAGCTGGGTGGATGGCAGAAATACTATGATTGATGAACTAAACAATTGGCAAGGAGTGGACATTGGGAAATTAACTGAAGTGTTCTTTGTAAAGGATTGTTCAGAACATTATTTGATGGTTGTTTTATCAAATAGAAAATATGCCCTGGGTAAACTTTATGGTAAGGGTGGAGCATCTTTAATCTTCATGTTAAATTATTTTACATGTTTCTCATTCACTTTTTTATAGAGAACTTAAAAACTTTCATGTATATCATATGTATCTTCATAAGTTTGCAGCGAACTGTTTTAGTAGTTTGAGTTATTAGCTGAAGCACAAATTGAGATAACTCAATCTGGTCAGTTGCTTTTTGGACTTCTTTCAAAGTCATTTCATTAATTTTTTCTGAACACAGCACATTTTAGAAAACTCTGAAACATAACTGCTTGGAGCCCCACAGATTTAAAAGGCTCTGAGGGGTTGATAGGGCTTCCCGTTCTGTCCCTTGTGTGCTAATAGAATTGGCTTGACAGTGTCCTTGGATTGGTTGTGTTGTCTTTGCAGTGGAGATTTCCCTGGCAAGACAGTCTTCCAGAAGCTGGTGTTCCACTTTTCCAGAGTGATGCCCAGCATTTGGATCTTAATACTGTTCTTGGTGGATTTCCAAACTCATTGGCTCTGCCACTCTTCTGTTTGTTGGCTTCCTTGCAGAGGCAGAGAAGTGCAGAAAGCAGAACAAGGTGTCGCCCCAGTTCTGGTGACAGGTCTTAGGTTTCTGTGCTTGCCTTTTTTTCTCCAAAAAGACTGGAGACTTCAGGGAGATGAGAAGTACCACCTCAGTAAAGATGCCCTCAGTGAGGGTTGCTTTTCCAGGCAGGGACTTTGGTACTCTGGTTTTCTTTCTTCTGTCGATAGCTGACTACCAAACGTAGCAGCAGCAGCTAAGATTTGTGTAGTATTTACTGTGAGCCAGGGACAATTTGGGGGATTTTTAAAAAAATGTACTAAGTACTTAAACCTCTCAAATGTTTTACAGGATAAGAAATGTTACTCACATGAAGAACCCCTAAGCACAGAGAAATTAAGAAACGTGTCCCAAGTAGTGGTCCCCTAGTCTATATCTGAATCACCTCTCTATTACCTCTCATGTAAGTTCAGTGCAGCCCGATTTAGAATGGGAGGATATGCTAGAGTGTTAGATATGTGGTGCAGGTCATTTTAAACATTAATACAATGTGTTTTCTAAAAGGAATGAGTTCCTTATAATTCTACTTAAAACAATTACTAATTTTGTGCTTGTCTTTATATACCCTAATTAGATTACATCTCTATTATTTTTAAG